GGCGTGCCCTGGCCCCCGCCCCCCACGTCCCCTCCGGATCGCCCGCTGGCCCACGCCTCCATGGCCCACGCCTCCATGGCCCACGCCTCCATGGCCCACCGCCCAGTGAGGGTGAGGAGAGCAGCCCCCGCACGAACCACCCAGCGGAGGAAGACGCTGTAGACGGGGTGCCCACCAGCTGTGCGGTCTACCACGAGGCCGGCCACGAGGCCGGCCAGTGAGCATGACGGCTGAACACAGTGCAGAGGCCCGACAGGCCCGGGGGCCACCAGGACACCTTCTCCGGGAGCCACGCAGAGCGAGGCCACGTGGGGGCCGATAGGTGAACTGCCCAGAACAGGGCCCAGGGCAGGGGAGGGGCTCGTGGGTGAGTGTCTGTGCAGATGGAAGGTTCTGGACCCAGGCGACGCTGCCCTGGGGCCGACTGCAGCAGGGCCTGGGGTGTGGGGCGTGGCTCTGGGTGAGCTGTCGGCAGAGGCCAGGCGGGAAGGGCAGCCGGCTCACAGGGACCTCGGTGTGGGCTGCTTGGCTGGCCCACGGGGATCTGCCTCATCCACGCTGACCTGTGTGTGAGGAGCCCAGGGTGGGGGCTGCCGGGGAGTGGGGGTCTGTGGATCCCTGCCGAGGGCCGCCGGGGAGGGGAAGTGGGGCTGCAGCTGCCAGCCCCTTCCTGCGCCAACTTCCAGCTGGTGGTGCAACAGGCAACGGCCGGGCTGGCGGGGTGGGCGCCGGGGCCGGCGTTCTGGGACGCCCCCACCTCCCTCCGCGCACTAGCACGGCCCCTAGGCCTATCTCCCAGTCTGTAACACAGGGGTACCCCGACGTGGGAGGCCCCAGTCCTGGCTGCAGCTGAGTCAGGATGGAGCATTTTCCACACGAGGGAGCGTGACCCACCCAAGGACAGGGAGGAGGCCCCCACACAGGCCATGACGGGGCCACACCTCGGACACGTGGTGCTCAGGAGGGACCACCTTACGTGAGATGTCCAGAACGCCAGGGAGTTCGTAGGTGCAGGGCCCACTGTAGGGCAGTCACAGGAGGGCAGGCTGCACAATTTGGTGAACACACTGACAAGCACTGAACTGTACGCCTTATTTATTCATTTTTAAAGGATTATTTAATTTTATTTATTCATTCACTCATTTTAATTTGACCAGAGAGAGGGAAAGTGAGAAAGCAAGCCACCAGGTCCAGGACTTGAACCATGGTTAGCCGTGTGGGAGGTTCCAGCGCCTGTCACCAGGCCACTTGCTGGTCCCCACTTGATTTATTTTAAACATTTATCTGTTTATTGGTTGTGATTTTTGGGCCACTAGCTCCAGGACTCGAACTGCAGTTGGCCATGTGGGAGTCCAGCACCTCAGCACCCATGCCACCTGCCAGGCCCCTGAACTGTATACTTTGTTTAAGAGAGGTTTTTGCTACAGGGCGTGTGCTCACCAGAAAGTCAGAGAGACAGAAAGAGAGAAATCGGGGCAGGCAGGTGGCAGTGGTTAAGGGCGCTGGAACATGGCCGACTGTGGTCTGAGTCCTGGACCTGGCAGCTTGCTTCCTCACTTTTCTCTCTCTGCCCCTCTCTGGTCAAATTAAAAATGAATAAGTAAATAAAGTTAAAAAAAAAAAAGAGAGAGAGAGAGACAGAAAACAAGAATCACCCCCTGGGGGGATGGCCACACCGCAATCCCTTCTCCCCCATTCTTCCCTCAGGACCTTGGGCACACACGCGCCTGGCGTGAGTTTAGGCCACCAGGTCCGGGACTTGAACTATGGTCGGCTACGTGGGAGTCCAGTGACGTAGCCATTACGCCAACTGCTGGCCCCCCAATTGTATACTTTTTAAATGGCTGATTTTAAGGCCAGCTGGTGGCATTCTGGGGCTAGATCCCACGTGGCCGACTGCGTGGTTCAAGCCCTGGACCTGACAGCACCCCGGGTGTCCCAAATCCCGAGAATGGGAAAGGAAAAGGGGACTGCACCTGCCCTCGCTCCGGGGCGTGATTCTCTGTCTCTGGCAAGGATGTGCACACTGCACCAAAGCTTAGGAGAGGTTGGGGCCGGCAGGCGGTGGTGGCAAAGGGCGCTGGACTCTCACATGGCCAACCACAGTTCAAGTCCCAGACCTGGCAACTTGCTTTCTCACGTTCCCTCTCTCCCTCTCTCTGTCCCTCTCTGGTCAAATTTAAAAATAAATAAAGTTAAATAAAATGATTCTTTTTTAAAAAAAATCAACCCCACATAAAAAAAACATGAGGTGAACTTTGCCCATTTGTAAAAGGGCCCATTTCCAAGGTGAGGCTGAGCGGTCTGGGTCTCAGGGTGGTCCTCACACTCAGGGTCACAGTTTGTGGGGCCTGTGGGGGCTGATTGAGGCGGCCCACCCCTGCCAAAGGGTGGGTCGGGGTGGTGCTTGGGTCTCTGCTCAGCCCCAATGCTGTGGCCGGGAACGGAGGCCTGGGCCTGTTTCCCTGTGTGTACAGTGAGGGTGTGAGTGCACCTGGCCTCACACAGCTCTGCTGACTGAGTTCACAGAGTTCTGAGCCGGCGGCCATGCCTAACCCTCTCCCCTGCTCTGAAGTCTGCCGTGGCTCCCTAGCGCTCTGACCCCACCAGCCCCAGCTAATGGGCCGCTGTGCCAGGCCTGCCCCGCTACACCCCTGGGGATCTGATGCAAAG